TGGGAGCTAACACAATACAAATAGAAGGCAAAATCGGTCTGGAAAGTAAACAAAATTAGGAAGGAGAGGCAAAACACTCTTCTCCCTGCAGATTTTTCAAGGTACCTTGCAAAAACACCCGAGCCGAGAGCCAATAACCCAGGGTGTGTGACACAGCTGAGACAGAGAAGTCGTGGCATTACTGTTTTCACACATCTGTGTGGTAGACTTTTTGCTAACACATGTTCTGTTACTGTTGAAGAGGAAAAAAAAAAAAAATAAATTAAAAGAGGGTATCTTCAGTACCTTTCCAAAGCAAAGGAGGGCCTGTAGGAAAAGAAACGTGTGTGTGACCCAGGTGTATCACATTGCTCCCTTCTCTTCCCATGTCACAGCTCTGCCGGGGTTCGTGGGATTTGTTTTCTTTGCTATTCAGATCTGGAGAACTCTTTTGGTTTTGGTTTCCCTATTGCTGTATCTTCTATGCAATTCCTTTTCTAAAGACCGACTTACTACAGGAGAAGTGCTAGCCATTGCATTATTTGTATTGCTGTACAGTGGAGGTGTGGTTTACTAGTTCTGAGTGTGCCTCTTACCCCCCTCCCTTTTTTTCTCCTTCCCTCTGTTTGTAAATGCCTGCATTTATTCTGTCAGCCTGACATGTACAAAGTGTAAGAAAGAATTTTTAAACAGGTAATAAATTATATTTATAAGCAACTGGAAAAAAAAAATACATCACTGCCTTGTGTTCAGTTGTTTAGTTCCTGGAAGCTCGGAAATGGAGTCTTTTATTTAGTTTCTTTTTTTTTTAAAAAAAAAAACAAAAAACAAAAAAAACAAAAAAAAACTTCCCCCAAAGAAATGTTTCTGCACGTAAGAACTGTGGGATTCAGTGGCATGTCAGGGGCAGTGTGCAGCAAGCACAAGGCTTTGTCACCTCAATGTGGCCAGGCCAAGGGGGCTGTAGAAATGCTGCCTGGAAAATAACTGCAATGCCACTGAGCACAGACTGTCCAGGGCAAAGCTTGCAGGGGCTGTGCAGCTCAAGGGGAAATTGCTGTTATTTACACACTTCTCTGAAAATAACCAGCAAGGCAATTAAACATTAGGAAACACTGAGTTGGGTCTGCAACACAGAACTGCAGAATGAGAAAAGTGCTCCAGCTTTAAGTAGAAATTCACAGAAATACCTCACTAGATGTAGAGGTACATACCCCAAATCTCATCATTAAGCAATGCCATTTTCAGCTGATGCTGGGTATTTAGGCTGAAACATTTTCACCTGATGCATGGGGCTGGGAATTCTAGCTTTAGTCTCTGCAGAGATGACTCCCGTTCCTCTTGTGCTATTAAAAATAGTAAAAAATATCTATAAAGATGTGGCAGAATGAAGGGGGGGTGGTCTAAAAAAAATTATGCTAATGCTGACTTCCTATAGATTTACATAATCAGCCACAAAACACGAGCAACTGCTCTATTAGTGATAACACTATTTTAATTACTATTTTTCTCTTCACTGACTTGTGAAAGGAGTGATGCTTTTTTATGCCAGTGGAAACATATGGAACATATTGCTGTTTACTTGTTTGCTCAGAGGAAAAAAATCTTATAAAAATAAAATAAATAAAACAAGGCACAGTCAAAATAATCTAGCCAGGGAAATGAAACAAAAAGATGGTGCTTTTCAAGCACGTTAAAAGTAAATAGCAATCTCTGTCATGGGGAGATGGAAACAATTTTATTGGGGGGGAATGTTAAAACAACCATATACAATTTGAACAAATACAACATAACACAGTTTGTTCCCCAGGTTTTCTAATTACAGTATTTACAGGTTTAATAAGGCACTGGTTCTCAAAATAGAACACAAATTAGTTTCTTAGTCTCTACATTGACAACCTTTTCTTTAATAGAAATAACTTTGTGCTAGAGAAAGGATAGCAGTTGCTAGATGGCATCTCTCTTTTTTTTTTTTTTTTTTTCTTCTCCCACTTACCTATGCCACCTCACCTATGCCAGTAAGAAACTAAACTACACTTCCTTGAACGATTTACATTTGAAAAGTGGATTTCTAGACCCGTGGGCACCAAAGCCACAATTATCTTTACCACTGACTTCCAAGCCCTCATCAATGTGCCCTTTGAAACCACCAAAATATGGAAGTGACATTAAAAGGCCACACCTGGCCAAACAAACAGACTAACCCTGTGGTCACTGCAGGTGCTGAAACCTTAATAATGACACGCTGAGTGTTACAGCAAGTCTCCCATGCAGGCAGTAACTCGAATGTCACAGTGCTGGAACAGAAGACCTCTACCCTTGCCTTAGGCTGTTTTCTGGCCTTTGGAATAGCCCTTCACAATAGATTACAGTGGATAGGAGATTTGAGGGCAAAATCTGGTCTTGGGAGAAAATAGGCAGGCACTAGTTACACAACTGCAGACTGTTTGCTTTCTCAGTGTGTGTCTCCTCGTATATATATATATTTATATATATTTATATATTTTCCTATACAGCACCGTTGCAGTGATTTGTCATTTATGCATTTTCATAAATAAATATTATGTTTTATTTAGTGCTTTTTCATCCATAATAGTTTACTCTTAATCCACATACTGGAGCTATTCCAGACTCGCAACTGAATATATATATATATTTTTATATATATATAAAAACACATAAACTTGAACATTTAACATACACACTTTACGTGATCTATCAACCAGGATCTTAAGATTCTTTTCTTCTGGACCAAAAAAAAAAAGGTAAGATTTGCTCAGGAAACCATGACTGGCCCTTTCTCTTTCACATGCTGATGGCAGGTGCCAGGGGTGTTCATTGCATTGCTGGTGCTGCCAGCTGGCAAAGCACCTTCCACAACACTCCTGGGGAGAGAGCCCTGCTGATTCAAATAAAGAAAAAAAATCTATTTGAGGAGGGAAGAGGTGAAACACACCTGAACAGGCAGGAAAGAAGCATCCCTGCTGTGCGACCTGGGACCTGCAGGTCCCATCCGCTTCTTTGGAGCTGAGAAATCTCAGTTGCACAGGGTGTGCTGGCTTTTATGGGAAGAAATGAGACTAGAAACCCATGGCTCCACTCACTAAGACAAAAAAGGTGAAGAGAGACTGAGCTGTGCCCATTTTGGCCCACAAATCTCAAAGGTGGGCCAAAGGAGAGGAGCAAACTCCGCTCTCAGCCAGGCAAACATTTTTCAATGGGAAACCATTGTTGTCCCTCCTGTGGTCAGGATCTGGTGTATTATTAACTCTCAGAGATTTTCTTTTTGTTTTGCTTGGTAAATTTGGGTACAGATAGGGAAACTGCACTGCAGAAAAAGCACTCTAATGAACAAAAACCTTCTGATTAAGCTTTTTAACACCTATCATCATGGAGGTCTTGCTGGTTCTCTTGAACCATGCATTTTTCTCTGTTAGCTTGAAAGTATAAAATGGTAATTTTTCCAGCTAGAAATACCTTAAGGGAGCTGTTAAGCTAAACCCCAATTATTCATCTACCTACCACAAATAAATCAGTTTTGTCCAAAAAGAGAGGGGAAAAAAAAAGAAACATTACAGAAGTGCTGAGGCTAAATCCTGCATGGCAATTAGTTCAGTTCTGAAATAGGCTTTGCATAATCAAAGCAGCATTTGTAAGGACTTATTTCAAAATTAAGCTGAACACCATCTAGTAAAACAAGAGAGCCAGGCAGGAAAATTTTAAAAAGCAGATGAAGGGTAAAAAAGGGTAAACCAGTAGCTCCCATGCAGCTCAGCTTTGGTAATCTGACAAAGAACAGAACCTTTCCAAAGGAAACACTTCCCAGGGTATATTTCACCTCTCATTTCCCCTTCTGTAGCATTAGCATTGCTACAACTGCTGCAGCCCCAGGAAGGAGGAAGAGGGAAGGACAGAAAATACATTTCCCATCGCCTTTCTCCCCTGACAGCTCCTCTTGCTGGGAACCACAATGCTACACAGCCCCAGCCCGGCAGCTGAGCCTGGCACTACTGTGCAGCGGCTGCCAGAGGTGGAGAGGCTGCTGGAAGGCCACCCAAAACAGTAATGCAGATAAAGCTTGAGCCACTTGCCTGGTTTGTGGTGTCTCTCACTACAGCACAAGTGCTGGAGGCAGGTACCCACTGCTGCCCACGGTTCCCAGCTCTCACCACCCACCTAATGTGTCCCACACTCCCTCCCTGTCACTTTCTACGACAGCCTCAAGGCACCAGGTCTCCTCACACTCAAGGAGAAATGATTGCCACCCCAGAAATGGGCACTTGTGAGGTTTTTCACTTTCCCTTAAAAAAGGGAACACAGATTTTGCTATTTTTTTTTCTAAGCTGTGGTTGTAGATGGACCTCTCACTTTTACACAAATGAAACAGCAAGTTAATAATTCCTTCTCACAAGGGGTTTCCTCTTAAACAGTGGTTGTTTGTGGGCTCCAGCAGTTTCAAATTACCCAGCAGATTCAAATGTGTACTTCATTTCTACTCGCACACAAAATACTTTATTTTGCAGAGGAGGAAAAGGAAGGAAAAAAAAAAAGCCAAGAAAAAGGGCACTTGTTTATCACTGTGGTATTATCCTCATCACATTTCCTGGAAACATGGAAGATCTTCTCTAAACAAGTCACACCAAACCATATTCATATAGCTCCCAACTACCTTAAATGAAGCATGACCTTCCCTGGGACAGGCCACCCACAGGAATCAGGCCACCCACACCAAGGGGGATGGCAGGGATGTAACTGGGCTCCACCCCTGTACTGTGAGAATCACTTGCACACACAGGCTTTGGAAAGTTATCTCCACAAACAGGTGACTTTTAAGGCAGCCATTAGAGCTCCTCTGAGCTACACAGATCCACTCACCATTTTTTTTTCTATTTTTTTTTCTAAATGCTGGAGTGCAATAGTCTTTTTGGAAATGAAAAAGTTGGTTTGCTTTCATTTTCAGCAGTTTCCTCTAATTTTTTTTTAATGTATCAATATACATCTTTTTTTTTTACTTCTAACCCAAGAGTTTTATTTTCATAAAATTTAAAGCAGTATCTTTTTAAACAATCAAAACAATAATAATAACAATAATAATAATAAAATAATAAGTGGCTTTCATGGAAAGCAACATGCATAATCTTAAACCAGTTACTAAAACTGTATTTCCCCATGTAAACAAGGGCAGACAAGCCTCTTCAATCTTGCATGTCAAAATTCAGGTGATTTTTGCAACAGATAGTCTCCTCCAGAACTCACAGCTGCTCTTCAGCATGACTCCTCCATTCAAGGTACTTAGCAGAGACTTTTGATACATCTTCAGGACTTCTGCCTGCACAAGAAAGTTCATTTCCAGGGGCCTCTGCTGGAGTTGCCTCTGGCAGAGTCAGAGTTTAATGTCCTGGGACTCTGACATTTTGGCAAGTGTTTTCTTGACGCGCAGGGCTGTGAGCCGGGAGGCAGGGCTGTGAGCCCAGCACTCCATCATCAGCTTCCCCATCTGCCGTAGGCACTGCGGAGAGAAGCGGGAGAGAAAGTCCCACCGGGGTCAGTGGAAGAGGAGACTGCAGTTGTTGGCAATGCTGGAAAGCTGAAGGAAAGAGGTCCTTTCTAAGGGCAGTGCAGACCCTGAAAGGCGTTACACATAACCACCAGCGCTGCCCAGACCAGCCAAACATGTTTCATGTAGATTAATGTACATTTCTATAAATGCATTTTTGGTAATACACAAACACTGTGGAGTAACAAACTGACCATTTATTGCTGGAATGCCTGGGGGGGGATTACCAAGGATGCTAACCAATTGTTCAAGAGCAGCTATTGGAATAAGCCTCCCCAGTCTTTGACACACATGGTAGGAGACCAAACACCGAGTACCACCATACAAAAGCCCTTCTGGGAACTGATAATCCTTCCTTCAGTGTTTCCAACCCCAGTCTGAAGGCTCAGAGGGATATGGCTAGGGAGAGGATGAGGCAGGTGAGTTTTGGTTAGATCTTCTCACACTGGCTGTTGCACAAGACCTCAAGCAGCCCAGGGAGGTTGGTTTTTTCCCCTCACATTCACAAATCTCATGCCACCTAAATCTTTCATCTCCCTGCAGAATATTCATCTACATGCTGCTATTCCCAAACGGCAGCACCAGTGGTAAATAGCCTCCTCCCTCAAAATGATGCAGAATTGGGTCAATCTCACTCACTAGCTCTGATTAAAAGCACAGACTGCATGTTAAGAGGGATGACAGGTACCTCATCACTGCTCCATCTGTTGGGAAAAGAGGGCCGTAGTCTCTTGATGCACACGATCTCCCGCATGTCCTCGTACGAGGGGTCGCTGGGCACCAGGTCGTGGTATGGAAGCTGGTATTCCTCAACTATTCCTGAAAGAAGCAATTAGTTGCCTGTCACTTGCAGGAAAAATGTTCCACTCTCGTCTTCCCCTCTCATTTTATAACAGATTGGCCATACTGCCTAACAGTTGGGTGTAATTCCCTTAAAAAGGACTTGCCTGCTCTAGAAGTTTATTCCACAGACAAATTCCAATGTAACCATTGCTGTGTAAAGACTGGCTAGGTATCTTAATTAATTACACTTAATCAAAGGGTAGTGATTTGCCAAGTGAGACAGTTTCTACCACTGCTGTCCAGTCCAGCAATCTCCCAGTAAGTTCTCACAGAAAGAGCTATTAGCATTGGGTCTGTATCAGAGTAATTTGAGAGAGAATTAACCTAAAGTTATGTCTCCTTCTTATCAGTGGACCTAGAAAATACTAAAGGGCACTTCTGTGCCTCTTCAGAACACGGCAAGGTACCATTCTTTGTGCATAGTAACAGTGACAAAAATATTACAGATTTCACCTCACAACATTGCAATACACGTCACCAGCTTTTAAACACGGGGATTCTGCTGCTCACTGACAACATTCAGCTGAATGCTCTAGGGTGAGCATTCAGCACAATCCTGCAGGATTTAAAGACCCTTAAAGGTATGCTGAAGGTAGCAGAGACCCAAGAGAGACATTCTCTACTCTTACTACCAAACTGGCACAGAACTGCTACCAAGTCATTTTTGTGCTTTTAACTTTCTCAGTGGGAAAAGAGAGGCAACAACACCCATCACCTCTGCACTGCACTGAGCTCTACATGCAGGAAGAGGGAAATGAAGCACATCACTGGAATGACAGTGATGTCGCAAGTGCCACCTCCCTCCGGTGTTCTGCTACTTGTCTCGTAAACAGATTATTTATTTCAAAGAGTAGCACAGCAAACCCCAAACTGTTCGTCCTCCTCCTTCCATTTAACTCTTAACTAAATTAAGAAATAACTGTTTTCTTTCTGCTAAATTAGCTGAACACCCCTAGTCCAGCAGAAACGTGATGCCTTTAGAAAAGGTTCTCAAATGATTTCCACACTTCCTCAATGCAGGCATCCACTACCTTCAAACAAGCCTTTAAAATACAGAATAATCTCTGCTGTTGAAATAGCAATGACTGATGCTTTAAAATAAGTTTCAACAAGAGAACAGATATTAAGAGAGTTACCTGTACAGTTTACCCACGTTTGCTTATTACTGTAAAAACAATTACCCAGAGTCTTCTCTGGTGTAGTGGAAGGTTCAGTGTTCACTGACACAATTAAAAGTGATCTCCCAGCTCTTTACCTCCTGAAACACATCTCCTTGCTATCTCCCAAAGGATGAGTCCAAAACTGTACATATCAGCCATGATGTAGGACTGAAAGTGACTTCTATTCAAGCTTTCATCCAGCACCTCAGGAGGCATATAACGTTTTGTTCCTACACGGGTATTTGGAGGGATGTCTACCTCATTTGTATCACTAAAAGAAAAAGAAGGAAAGAAAAGGGCATCAAACATACAGTAAAGTGACTTGAAAAGAAAGCAATTTAGGTGGAAGAAGTAGTAAATCCACACCACATCCACTATCAAACAAGGTCGAAAGTAATGCATAATCTTAATGGAACAATTCTTGCAAGAAAAGCCTCTTAGTGCGAAGGCAACCCTCCTTTAAAGGATGACCTGCCTGAGGCTATGTTAAGCATTCAAATGCAGAAGCACAATGGAGATAAGACTCAACAGGGATGCTGTAACATTTGTGAGATTTCATTAGCATTAGCCGGAGCTCTAATGTTAGTGATAACAATCAAATCCTCATTAAACGCTGTTTTCTTAACATACTCCACCACCTAATGCTTCAGTCTCAGCAATTAAGGGGGGACACTAAGTAGCTGAGGCAGTATCTCTTAGCTGTAGCAAATCAGATCTGCAAGGAAGATGAATCTATTATTTTTTGCAAGCATTATGTTTGATCCCTCCCAACCTTTACACATCAAGATATGCAGACACAGAGAGATAAATGCATAAAAGCATCTAAGCAAATGTGTTACACCTCACACATTGACCAGGAAGAGATGACATACAGGAAAAAAATTCCCATTAGTTATGTGAATGGATTCTTGTTTTTCTTATAAACTCAGATTCAGCCACATCAGTTTCAATATAGTTAAAAGTCTAATATGTGGCATATATTCTGGTTTATTTTCCTTTCCTCACCTTCAAAATGTATGTATTTTAAATACGATGGATACAACAGAAGTTCACAGAATAATTATATTTCAGCAACTTTCTTCATGTACTGCAATTGTTTTTTCACCTACTGATATGAAGAAAATCTGAGTCTGTGGTACAACCAGTCACCTACACAGTCATTAAATCACACACATGCTGGTGGCACTACTGTACACCTCCAAGAATGTAACATAAATCCAGTGACCTGCACTGTCTTGCAATATTTCAAATGAAATGGGAACACAAAGAACTTTATTAGAATCATTAGCTTCAGCAGAGCATACCCCTTCCAACTATTTTCTGTTCCCTGTTGTTGCATGAGAAATTCTGTCTGAGGAAGGATTTGGTATGAAAACAAGCCAAGTACACAACGTAAATTCCATCTGGAGTGTGAAAAATTTGTATTTCACCTTCTTTTGTAACAGCACTTGGTAATTCCTAGCTCTTCTTCATTCACAGCTAAGCAGTGTGCTGCTCTGTATTTGCTCTGTATTTGCCAGGCAAAGTACACCTGCAAAGGGTAAATTTCTTCCCTGAAACTTTTTAATAGTGTATTTTCAAGCTGTTGCTTTCTAGGCCTCTGTTCCTCAAAGTGAAAATATTCCTTTCTTGTCTCCTAAAGAAAGGTCAGGCTCAAAAAGGAAATGCCTCACCAAGGAATCTGGTAGGTAAGTGAATGGTAAGAACACATAAGAACTGCCTTTCCTTTCACTCTGAATAATTTCAGCTCAACATTCGTACTGAATTCCTAAATTTCTTAATACTCCTGGGAGCGCACAATTTCAAAGCTGACCTCCAAAAGGGAAACCTTCAGTCTATGTATTCTGGACACATTTCTGTGTACAGAAAAATCAGAAACTTTGGAACACACATCTCCACCACCAGGACCACCGCTGAGAGCTCAAGCTCCTTTTGAACAGAGCTGTCAGAGAGCAGTGTCTCCTTATGAATCCCAGGAGTGAGTAAGTTCTACTTGTCTGCTCTTTCTAAGTTGTTTAAACACACAACCATTTTTTTAAAATCAAATTTAAAAGCCATTTCAAAAATCAAATCTGTACTTCAGCAATTTGATTTGTAGGAAATGAAACAAAAGACAGCCCAAATGGGGTCCTTTTCAATAAATCCCAGTTAGTAACTCGTGCAAATTCTTAGTATTTTTCTCTCTAAGTTGAGAGTGAATTTTCATGGGATCAGACAAGCTGAATGCTTCCCTGACAAGCTCAGTGATGTGACTTCTACCTGTCAGTGCTACATCCTTTCATTGTGTGCCAGCAGTCCTGGGGAAGCTATAGAGGATGGAGTGATGAAATCTGAACCTTTATGCAAATGAAGCTAATGTGCTCAATTAATCAAAAAGTGACTATTTATACACTTGCATGAGGTGTTGACATGACATTCTCCCCCACACAGGTAGCCTCACACACAGATGAGCAGAGCCCACAAGGTGTGCACACACGCTGCAGGCGCTTCCTCACACGTGCACACTCAGTCACCAACTAAGGAAACTTTTGCACCTGATTTATTAACTTCTCCTCAGCCCCCTCACTTCCACTCACCTGATAAATTTCACAGCCAAGCCCAAATCTGCTATACAGCAGGTGCCATTCTTTTTCACCAGGATATTCTTACTCTTTAGGTCACGGTGGGCAATAGCAGGCTTGCCCTGAGTACTGAAGATCTCAGTGTGCAGGTGGCACAAGCCACTGACAGAGGAGTAAGCCAGCTTGAGCATGGCTTTTGTGTCCAAGGTAGTAGATTTCAGATAATCATAGAGTGAGCCGTTCTCATGGTAGTCAGTGATAAGATACAGCTGGGTCCAAGAGCCTGTACCTTTAATATCTGCAGCAATGAACCCTTCAAAAAGAAAAAAAATATATTTTCAAATTAATATTTCTCATGGGGTTTTTTTTGACTGCTCAGAACTCTGGACTGTCATCCATTTCAGTAGTTTTGTTTTAATAACATATTTAATTCTTTTCATCTTACTTCCATGCAACTGTGCCTCACCTCTGGCCTTTAATGTACCTTCAGAAGCCCAGAAATTGATATACTGATGGCTGAAACAGACATGTTGTGTTTGGAATAACAACCCATAAACCCCATTATTTTTTTAACTTTTATTTATGTTTCAGTAATCCTTTCAACAACTTTCCTTTGAAAAGCACTGGGTGGCTAATTGCAGAGCACAGAAGGAAACAAAGCACATCGGAAAGGACATCAGATAACAGCAAATACAAAATTGCTAATCTCAAAAACCTGCTCGCTATCAAATAATTCTCTTTCACTTCACTCACCAAGAATATTTTCATGTCTCATCAGGACAGTCTGGTAGATTTCTGTTTCTCTGAACCAGCTGGCCTCCTCTGTAGTAAAAAACACCTTCACTGCTACCTTTTCGCCACGCCACTTTCCCATCCAGACTTCTCCATAGCGACCTTTTCCAATCTGCTTCACCATTTGAATCTGCTTTGCAATGGTCCTTTGAACCTGTAAAATGCCAAGGCAGATCTTACAGATCTTGCTCAGTGGGAATCTCCTGGGTCTTCCTTCCACACATCCAGCCAGAAGAGAGTGGAATATGCAGTGGAATAATTATAATTAAGCTAAGTAATGGTATTTGTTATATAGTCAACACTGCTGAAACTCAAGGCTAGGGCTCGTAAGAGTCAAAAGCCTTAGAGCTCCAAAATGATCAAAATTACAAAATTCCTTTTTTTTTTTTTTTTTTTTTTTTAGGATGATACTTTCTATCACCTTCCTTGAAATTGCCATGCCTAATTATTACAAAAGAGACATTTGGTGCTAGGAAACTCAACCACTACTTACAGAGTTAAAATACAGGTGCCTACATTGATTTTAATAATCATAATTAGCTAGTAATAAAAAGCAATTTCCCCCCCAAAATACTTGAAAGAACAGCTTTCCAGCGCCTGTGCCAGCTTTGTCAGCAGCTGTACTGAGCTAAGGCTAAAATCATGGCTATTGCAAGATCAATGTCCACAGCAGCACTGCAGAGCTGCTCTTCATGACAGGCTGCCTCTACATTTAACAAGCTTTTACAGCCACAAAAAATCTTGGGCAAATGGAGACTAATAATCTCATCAGATTCGAGCATGTCTGCAGATCGTGTCTTTCTAGAAGTTCACACATAAAAATGCCAGTGGATGCTGCAACACAACTCACTGCTGTTGGTGGCTGACTCTGCCTCCCCCTAATAAAACAGGAGACTCAAGGTCACCCTCTTGTGCTACAGCGTCGCCAGTTCAATCCACCGCTAATGAGGATTTGCCTGGGAGGACTTGGTAAGATTTTGAAAGAACATTGTTGCCAATGCAGGGAGATTTTCATTTTTCAGCAATTGGCAAAATCTGGACAAGCTCAAATTCATGGCCTCTTGCTCCGTTTTGCCACCATCCAGATACAAAGCTCCGGTGTTTTACTGCAGTAAGTGACTGACTGCTCTAACTGAATCCCTATGAAATCATATTCATTTCATGAAGTCCAAAATATTCTTGCAATCTAGGCTGACAATGGATTATTTTTGCATTCTTGGCTGAAATGAGCAAAACTTGATTGTTTAAGTCATTTGCTTCCCTTGTTATGCTTGGGAGGTCCAGGGGAAGCTGAGCAGGACTGCCACAACCCCACTGCAGCATGAATGTGTGCTCAAAATCTATTAGGTCAGGTCTATCATCATTCATTTTTAAAGTAAACCACTGGTTTTCATATTGGACAATTTTAAGAAGCAAATCATACAGTGGTATTCATGCAAAGCTATTTCAAATATCCCAGTTTTCTTCTTCTGCCATTTAAACAGAATTCCATTTTTCCAGCCCTGCACTGTATTATTAGATGTTCTAGATGGTAGCTTCAGTGCCATTATTTTTGATTAACATCAGTGAAAGCCAACAATAGAGATTAGCATTAATTTTTTAAATTGATTTATCTTTTATACTCTCATATAGTGATTGAACAATAGTTATATTACATTGGAATTTTGCTGTAACATTTCGTAATGTCATTTTAGCATTGTTCCTTTCTATTTTGCCCATTTTAAAAATGCATCCTGAACAATAATGTAGTTACATCAAGTAACTTAATTTGTGGAAATATATGTAATGGCATCATAAATACATGCAATTACAATACTTAATGATGAAAAGTTCCTTATTAGATTACATTAAGAAAATGAAAAACACATTTCTGTTATGGGTTTTCAGGCGGCAGAATACTATGAGAAAGGCCTTAACCTGGTTTCCTCTTGCTAGAACTGGTCAAATGGTTTCCTATGAACAATTTATTTTATTTTAAGGAATTCAGCTTCTTCTTGAATCATAAATCAATTATGATTTCTAAAACAAATAGATTAATCAAAATTGTTGATTGAACTGATTTCATAAGCATGCTGAATGATGTGCTCCTGTGAGTTATTTATTTACACTGAGTGGGACTGGGGGTTTCTTATTTCTTTTTAGATCTGTGTATTTTGCTGCTTGAGCTCTGTAAGCAGCCAGGTAAGGTTACATGACCTTTTCCTTCGTCTCCCCGAGTGGAAACAATCCAATTACCAACTATTTCTACTTTCCTGGCATTCAGCTAGACGTGTTCAGCTACTGCAGATGAAAATTTAGACAGATCAACCTTTTTCAAATTTAATATTTTGAACAGAGAATTCATACCTATGGCTCGGATGCAGTCCCTTGAAAAGTAAAGTTCAAGGGAGGGAAATTATGAAAAAAATGTGTGAGAAGGTAAAAAACAAATTGTAGCTCCGTAGTCTCTTCAGACAGACCATTTTGCAGCATATGACCTGCAGCAAACTCTACTGTCAGAGGTACTACAGACAGGTCAGGATAAAGAATGCCTGCTGATTGTCATCACACTGACAAATTCTTGGCTAATATTTGTTCTGGGTTTAATACTTGTATCCATTAGAATAAACGCTCTGCACAGAGGAAAAACCTTACTGGTTAGCATAAGGTGACATTTTGCATTAAATTTTCATCTTACTTTCCTGAAATTGTAACCCTGGATGTTTCAGTCTTTGCATAAGAAACAAGGTTAAAAATAAGTTCCTGCTTATAATTAAACAAAGACCAGAGCATTACTGCCAGGCACTTTCTACACACTGGTTTCAGGCATGGGCCCAGGGCTATCTGTGCATTTCTGCTGAACTCACAGTGGTTGTAGCTGTCTGGGAAATGCAACAAACACCTACTGCCAAGCACAAGATCCATTTTCTTCTTTTCCACTCAAAATCACTACTTATAAAAAAGCGATTTTTTATAAAAAAATATGAAATACAACCAAGTTCCTTGTATTTGCTCTAAATTATTATATTTTTTGTCATTGGAACAAGTGAAGACAAAGACCTTGATGTGGCAGGTGTCATGGAAAAAAAAAACCCCAAACAAACAAACAAAACAAAAAACCCCCAAAACAAAACCGACAAACCCCAAAGTAAAAAACGGAAGAATTCCTCGCAATTAAATCAACTGGAAACTCATTAGGAATGGTCCTAAACTCCACACAAGATCTCTCCCTTTCCATGGGTGTTAGAAGGACACTGGTATGGGATAGAACAAAGAGTTCTTAAAGCTGAGAGCAAACCCAGCCTGTTGCTTTATTTTTAAGGAAATATAAAACTTTCCATTTGATGTCCTCTTTAGGGTGTTTAAAAAATATGTGTGGGCAAAAACCAGACAGATAGTACATGGTACTTGGAAACTGGAAAACACCTACAGTAGTAGCATCACTACAAACCTATAGGTTTGGAAGACCTATTATGAGGGATGTATCCATTCTGAAAAATGAAAATGAAATCTATTCTGATTTCTCAGAGGCACTTATTTTAAATAAGTAACCTAGCATTTTCACTAATTCTTTTCCACCAGTGATGATCCCCAGAAACAAAACCCCCCGGTGAACAGAACTATATTGCCACAGAACGTTCTTCCTTTTCAGCAAGCTTAGTAATTCTGGAGTCTGTTTTGAAATAATCACAAACTTCATCCCTGTGCCTTTAACCTTTGAGATTGCCATAATACAAAGAAAAAAAATCCCCCTTGATTTCTGAATGCAAAGTGAAGCCTACAAAAAAAAAGGTTCCAAGTTTGACAAGTTACAGTTCCCTTCAGAAAAGATGTGTCAGTGTTTGAGACTGATGTGCGTGTGTGTGTGCTGTACATACAAAGGAAGAAAACAAGATCAGTGGGCCAGGTACTGTCCTGAACACTGGAGTAAATCCTGATGCACTTCCATGAGCTCTCTTAGCTTGTACTTGCCCTATGGTATCTAAAATAAGAAATTAACTGGGGTAGAAAAGCAGTAGTAGAAAACCTTTTTTGGCTTAGTTCACATAAAACAAGTCCTGTGCTTCTAAACAGCTGTTCTCCAGTTTATATCCTTGTCATTTCTGGTAGAGAAAAAAACCCAAACAAACCTAAAACAACAACTGAGGATATGTAAATGGAATTTTTGTGCCTCTTCTACCTCTACACATTTTTTTTTGCCTTTGAAATGTGCATTAAAATAGTATTGCTTCCTTACCAGGAGAGGGAGCCCGGAACCGCTCCCTGAGCTCTGGGACTGCTCGATCAAATCCTTCAGGGACTCTCCAGGGGGAATGTAGGTCTCATCCTGCTCCAGCCCGATGCTGTAGTGGGGCCTCGTCTCCTGGCGTCTGTATCTGACGATTTACACGAAAAACAAGTGAGTTTTGAATACAGTGAACACACGTGCAATGAATAATGCACGTGTCCTTCACATTTCCTTCATTTATAGTCTAACAGCTTTCTCTGCTTCCCTGAGGAATACACTGGACTCAAGGGCCAAAATTTTTCATTTTATTTTTAGCAACTGTGTTCAGCATTAAAATTCTAAGTATAACACTCAAAGGCCATGCAGTCTGGGGTGAATTTGCAAAGCAACCAAATGTTTTCCTTTCAGAAACTTAAATATGTCTAAAACACTGACCAATTAAGTAACTTTATTTTACTGTCTGCAGTGCATTTCTAGGAGCCAGAGGAGGTAAGGTCATGGAATCTGAGAATATGTAAAAAATGTGCCAAATTATTAAAATGTAATGCATGTAGATTATGATAACATTCTAAACACATTTACTGACCTTCCAGTATCATCATCTTTTTTATGATAAGCTCTTTATCACATAAACAAATTTTAAAGTCTTAGATATATTTCCCTTATAAAAATTTCCCTATAGAATTTTTCCTTTGGCCTTCTCAGTAAAGAATAATCTGTGCTTCTACCTGAATGGCATTTTAGGATGTTGAGTGAAAGATTCTGTATAAAATACATTACACAGGTATACCTGTGAATAGCATTAATTAACTACACTTTTTTTTTTTCTCATGATAAAATTACAGTTTCTCATTTCTTTTCTTTAAGGTCACTCCTATTTCTTTCAAATTTTTAAATCTATAAAAAGGTGAATGTTGGGGGAAACATTAACAAGCTGCCAAAATATTCCTTATTTACCTTAAGTAGCAGAATATGATGATAAGCAGCAGCAGGATGCTGCAAACAGTGGCAGAAATCAGCAGGGCCTTGTGGTGAATGTTTCCTTCAGCAAAGTCTGGGGTTAGAAAATGAGAAAGGAGGAAAGTTTAGAAAGGGAGATGGTATGAAGTCAATGTCAGAAACGCACTGAGCACAATGATAATTTCCGCTCTTTTCTCATAATTCCTGTACAGGATACCCCAGGATTCCCCAGACATTTTGTGGGCTTCCTCTTTGACCCTCACTGACCAGGACAGAACTGATACTTCCAAAAGCCTATTTGGCTTATCAGTCCTCACTCAGGCAAAACATTGTCTTTATTTGCAATTCCTTGTTTGTCTCTTAATGAAAAATCAACCAAGACCTGTAGCTCTACATCTTAACCTGAGTGATCAGCATGCAAAAATTACTGCCTTTTTTAAACACTCAGATTAAGTAGCATCCTGTTGAGTAGTTAATAAATACAACAAAACAAACAAACCAACCCCAACCAACACCACACTGCATTTATCCTAAGAGGGAAGATGTGGAAGACCATTTAACCTCAAGAAGGCAGGCCATGAGAGGCCTTGAAAGTGGATTTCCATCATTACAGAAAGATTTGTCTCTTAGATCCTGTTTTAAACACCTGAGCAGGAATTTCCTTCTTCATTAACTCTGTAGCAGCCCTGTGTGCCAGCAAGGCCTTCCTGTGCTAGTGGGCAGAACTAGCCTTCTAGCAGCTCTTCCATAAAACACTTTGAAAATAAAACATGTCAAGTAACTTGTTGAAAATGCTATTGCATAAAAACTATTAAAATATTTCAGTCAACATTTGTATGGGAGACTCATACGCTCCTTTAAAGTGTAATATTAATCTCCAAATTGTGTTCTCAGCTCAGGCAAGCAAGTCTGACCTTCATGCATGCTTTTCTGCTGAAAAACAAAGACATCCAGCTCTATTCTTTTTAACCTCCCCTGCCACCCAAACTCTCAAAATTATTGTATTTTGGCATGTGCATACACAAACCACCCTTCCAGTAATGGGATAACGCAAATGAGGGGCATTTTTTGGAAGCTCTTCCAGCCTTGCCATCTTGCATCCTTCACTCCAATGCCTGACACATCGAAGAACGCAAGAAATCCATCCTTATTGACTGGTCCAGGGAATGATGTTACTATGTTTCAGATTTACAAGGGTAATGAGACCAGGAGATTCCTAAGGGACACTTAGTTTACTCTCAGACTCTTTTATTTTAAAGTATTTTAGTTTCTCTCTCTCTTTTTTTTCTTTTTTTTTTTTTGTCCCAAACAATTTCTTTCGATTACCTACCAGCACACCACCTGATCACACTGGTCATGTTTTAACCTGCCATTACCTGCTCTGGGAGCACTGACAACGTAAACATTCAGGACATGGCTGATGCCTTTGAAAGGGGACCCTGACACGATGTCTATCAGGAAAACACTTGAACCCACCCTTCTGCCTGGCACAGCAGATTTATCCCTGGCCTGCCACTCCAAGTGGGCTGTGGGTTGAAACCGAGAGCCCGCTGGGGAATCCAGAGTTCTCGTGAAGGTGATGGCAGCTGGGCAGGGCTGAGGGCTCTGGTTTGTGCTTTGTAAGCAGCCTGTGGCAGCCACCACCTCCCTCTAAAATTCTGTGGGTTGTAACAGTTTCAGATGTCGAGGCCCATCAGATGAGTAAGAGGAGCACAGAGACCATGAAGCAGCATTCTGTAGCTGGGAGAAACCCGGATAACCACCCACAGCAAGGGCTCTCCCACTTCACAGAGATGGAACATGATGGAAGCTGGGCTTCTGTGCTTAGCAGTAATGAAAGCTGATGTCAGACACAGAGGGAACAATTCAGATCTTACAGCTGTGTCTGCTAGAAGTTAAAGCCATGGAAATCTGTGCCTTTTTGCAGACACAGTATTGCCATGAAGTTGTTCATGCTGCCTGTGTGTGCAGGAGTATGTACATTTGGAGAGGGATGATAAACATGCTGAAATCTTGAATCAAATTCCCATGATTTTTAGGGTTTAAGTGATCCAAACCTTATGCTCAGTGTTTCTAATGGGCTTCTGCCATTCGGAAAAGTAAATAAATGCAGTTTGGTTTTCCTAGAGGCCAGAAGGCATTCTGGCAGCGCTGTACAGTTCTCAGATGAACTTCAGGCTTCAACACTGCAAAATTCTTTGGGTACCCAAATGCAATTGGGTGAAGCAAATGTAAGGAAAGAATGAAAGACAAAGGAAAGTGTCCTGGTCTCCTTACTGGGAGCAGCTGACAAGCCTTTGACCAGGTGCAGAGCTGACCCTCTTGTGGTGGCTGGTGTCCCCCATGCCTAGAGTGGCACGAGCTCAGCAGTGGCTCCCTGTGCACAGCACAGGCGTGCGACTGGCTCTCACAGGAGGGGAGATTTAGCTCCATATGCCTTTCTATTTATTTGCCTATTTGAGAAGCAACACTGATGGTAAGTGGGCTATTGTCCCACCTTTCATACACTTCCTGCGTTTTTAAACCATTCTGGCAGGATTTCATTTGCTGGCTAACTTGAGGACTTCATGAACCTGTTGGAGTGTGTGTGGACAGCACAAGATTAAATGCAAGCCCCCATCCTTACACCAGCAATGTCTGTTTGTTCTGATGCACTAAGCCAGGCTGGGTTTCTTCTCCTGCTCCTCCAGCCCAGGCTGTTCCCCACAGAGCAGCAGGACAAACCTCCCCCTTCCCTGCACTATTTGACCAGGAGGAGGGATGGGACAGCTCAGCTCTGAGTCTGCCTAGAGACTTGCCTGTGGGCTCTGAGGTGAACCTTGAGGTGGGTCCTGGTCAGTGCCAGTTTACATGGTGGAGCTACTCTGTCCTTTAAGAAGTCCAGTGCTGTGCTTTCTACTGCTGTGTTACTTGGAGCTGGGTTATGAGAATAAGCAGCAGCTTCTACGGAGGCAGCAGTGAACGATTACTGGGAGCACGGTGTGGGAAGTACAAAACAAACACCCAGTAGGTTTGGGAAGCCTCTTCACATACCTTGGCTGGCTGATAACAGTGAAGCCCAGCAAACACCACATTAACAGCTCCATGCTGTAGGAAAAGAGTGGTGCAGGCTGGTGTCAGCAGGGAGCTCGGAGAGACCAAGCTGCCTCTCTGTTACTCTCCTGCAATTTCCCCCTCCTCCACCACTCCTTTCACTCACTGTCATCAGCGGGACCATGCTGAGGAGTGCATTGAAAATGCCACCCAGAAGGTTCAGAAGTCAGCATATCAAAGAGAGAGGAGGTTCTCCTCCCACCCCAGGTCCCTCCAGTTCAGAATGCTACAGTTATCCAAGTAAAAACGGCAGTGAAATCCGAGGCGTGGAGACTGTGTGCACACATCAAACCCCATCATTCCTCCAATCATTCCCTTGCCCATTCATCACTGGCTATACAGGCAGGGAGCCAGACATGGTGGCACCACCACTTCTGCTTATATAGGCTCTAAATCAGTAAAGACATATTTCTCCTTTTGACTGGTCTCAGCCTGTGCTTTCGCTGGGATTTCCAGGAATATCTTTTATTGTTTAAAGCAGAGGTGTTATATCAGACCCAATTACGGTTTTCATTTCCTTAATATGACAGATGTATAGCTGGCACAAGGATTTAATGGTTTCTCTGGGATATTTTATCCTGCTAGCTCTAGACCAAGATGAGCTCAAAACTCAGGCTTAGCTGTTGCTTCTTCCATCTTACTTAACAAGTCTTGCTTTGACCAGTGCTAATTTTTCTAGCTCTTACTTTCATGTATGTGGTGCTCCTTTCTTTCCAGGGGGGAGAGGAGAAGGATAGGGTGTGGCATAAATCTTGCCTTGCAACACATGCCAGGCCTGGAAAAGCACTGAGGGAAGACTAGTCACTTGCCTTTGTAGCTGTTACCTTGGTGCATGGGTCAGTTTTCAGTTCACCAGCCTCTGACCTGCAGCTGCAAGCTCTCCCTAGACTTTGTTTCCCATGAGCTATCACCTCAGACGCAAGAAGCCAAATTTCTGTTTGTTTTTTAGATGCTGAGGAGCACACCCTGAAGCCAGAAAGTAACTCCAAGAAGCTTGTTTTTAAGCTCACCTCTCTTTCTCTGTACTTACTGTTTATGTTAAATTTGATATACAATTCTGACATTACTCAGACAAACAATCACAGCCTAATCTAAATGCTTCCACGGTAGAAACAATGATCACAGCCACAGTACTGGGCACAGGCAATAGCATGTATTTGTGCACAGTATTTGTACTTATTTGCAGTGAGGGTCTGTGGTTCAAACTATGGCTTTTTTTTTTTCTGAGGTTTCATACTAGGATACAGCAGCGACAAATTAAAATAGTCCTGGAACCAAGAATTACATATTAACTTAAAGCTTTAGTAAAGGTGGTGACTTCTGCCCTGTTCAGCCACTTTTATTGAAGCAGTTCCTGAAATGCATTTCCACAAAACAGTCAGGATGCTGGTAGTTTGAGAGTTTATTTTAAAAAAATAAAATTAAAAAAAATAATCTTCTGAGCATGCTGAATGACTACATCACCTTTCATCTGTCATGCTAAATAGTCAACTTTGCAACACAGAACAGCTGGAACCCTGCTCCAGCTTAAAAGTTTTCCTTTAAAAAATATTCTCCCTGTTGTTCAATGGGTCTTGCCACCATGGTCCCCAAGCAATACTCTATTTACCCTATATACACACAGAACAAACCCAATATCGATCTGAACAACTTCTGCCACTACCAAAAGTTTGGTTCACTGCTTTCTGTATAAGCAGCAGACAGCATTGCCAAATAACTAAAATCTTAATAGGATGGATGTCTAGTGTTAGGCACTAATTCAGTATTTTTAAGTAGTCCTAATGTAGAATAAACTCAGCCACTAGCAAGAAGAAATCATGGCAGTGTTTTCCAAACTGATATTTAATGAAAGACTAAGTAAGTGTGAACAAATATTGACTGCTTTTTTGGAGCTTCTCTCAGTCCAAAGAACATTTTAAAATTAAATAAACTGACAAAGTAGTACATAACTCTTCTGTTGGAAGTCAGAATTTCATGAGGTTTCACTGTCTTAATGCCTTGCTAGTAAACAGTGGAGTATTTACATACTGCTCTCCGAAGGCCTGACTCTGCAGCCCATCTGTGCAGAATTTCACAGGCCTGAAGGGAACAGCTTACATGACTGAAGGCTTTCTCTGGGCATGCATTTGTGTAAGTATCTGCCACTGGTGAAATTAAGAGTGCATCTGTGCACCGATCTGGATCTTCAACACAGAATGCCGCGAACACAAATTCTTCTGCAACTCCGAACTGACTCCATGCTGACTACCACAATTCCTGCCAAAGCCAAGAGTTTACTGTGGATGAATTTACACTTACTTAGGAATGCACTTGTATAAAATGTATTCTGAACACCCAGATAAAAACAGTTTCACCAGCTTTCAGAAAGTGATGTTTAAACAAACAAACAAACAAAAATGCTAAAACCTTGCCTCCCTAGTGCTGGATGATCAGGTCTTGCAAATAAGAAAAACATACAGACTTGTGTCAACTTGAACTGACCAATTTGTGTGTGGAGTTATGAATGACAATAATGCTGTCACAGGGACTGGAGAGAGGAATCCATTTTATTATCAGGCTAAAAAAACACATAGCAAGAGTCATCCTCTGCCATGACCAGCCTAAGTCTTTGAGATGATCTCCGATAGCTCAGCAGGTCTGCACTAGGACAGCATCATGCAACTCTAATGCATCTCGTGTTCACTGCATGTGTGCAACAGAAATAACAGCAAGCATCAGCACCACTCCACACAAAACCTACAGGAATGGAGAGAAACTGTTTAATGCCATTTATCTATCTAATCACATGCTTTTGGGTAGGGGTGCTTCAGTCTGTGCTCTGTTTTTCCCTAAGGCACAAGGACCAAGAGCAGGAAAAGATCAGCTTAGGACTGGATTTTCTTCCCCTTACCTCGATTCTTCAGCGGTGGCAGCGTAGGGTGAAGGTGTCTATTACAGTAATCTTGGCCTGTGCAACATTCAATAGATCTTCTTTGGTGTGGAATAGGAGTGTCCTGCAACAAGCAATTTAGATAGAAAGCAAGTCATTACCTGTGTTGTAAATATCCACTGTCATCCTGGTACTTGAAAGATGTGCTTGCTAGCTGGACTGCAACCTGCTACAGATTTCTAGGATGTGTGGAGTAAGGATTTCTGCCAACCAGCATATCCAGCAATATTTCAACCAGGTAATTAAGACATTAATTTACTCCTAACTTACTCCTGTTGGTGCCTTAATGCTGCAGAAGGGACTGACTTTCTCTAATAGCGCAAGTCAGAAGTGTGGAAGTCACATACATCCATGAGTTAGACCAAAAAAGAGTTAGTACAGGTATCCAAAACAGGTTAGGCAGGATAATACAGGAATTGCTGTGTGGACTAATTCAGCTGCAGCATCTCGTCTCATGGGAAGCTGGATAAAATACCTTCCATTAACCATAATGATTAGATAATTCCTGTACTCATCTGAAAACATTTGAGATTAATATGAGGAAAGGCAACCACCTTAGAGGCTCCGTTTTCCATGACCCTTCCATTCCTGCAGTGATACTTTCTGTCAGGTGATCAGTGTACTTGAAGGGAGTATCTGGCACCAAAAATCCCAAACCCAAGTGCAACTGCATATAAGACACAGATGTTGCTGCAGTCCATCAAATAATACCCTAACTTTAGCTAGCATGGCCATTTGAGGCGTTAAGACTGCAATTCTATAAATCCAAACTTCCTCTGAGCAGGAATGTTAGTAGTAGCAGCAGTGCCAAAACCAAAACCCGTGAGTTGTTATTAGGAGTAGATATAGTATCATCTTTTTGGGGATACAAATGCACTTCCACCAGTAATCAATGCAGATCAACTATCTGCCAAATGAGCAGAAGTGAGAAACATGGACACAGCAATGTCTTTTGACTGCACATTAATTGAAAACTATCAAAAAGTGTCACGATGCAAGTGTCACTGTGGCAGAAAATGCTTCCTCACCCGACACTGGAAGTCTGAGCTCTCTAGCCAGGCAAATCTGCCATTCACAAATGGACACACCAAGGCTGCTGTGCACCAGCTCCTGCACACACAAAGGAGCCTCGGAGCTGTGCACTTACCTTTGTGACATTTCACAGCCTAAACCCCGCTAACAAACACCCCAGTTCTCTGCCTGTGGTCATTAGTGCACTGAGACTCTGGAAACCCACACAACGCAAGCTTCAGTGCTACACAAGGTCTGCCCTGGTGCAGGAACAAGGCACTGATATTTGCACCACTGCACAGACCTGAAGAAAGAAACACTTTTGAGATACTAAATGTAAAATATTATCATGAGTGATCTGTGATTCCTGTTTTAACCGTATTATGAACTGCAGCACTCCTGTGTATGAGTCCTTGAGTCATCATCAACACCTTTCATAGACGTTTACTTGGGTTATAAGGCTGAAGTGATCCAAAATGCTTCCATTTACAGGAATGTGCACCAGGGAGGGAAAGGACACTAACAGATGGCTAGATGGTGCTGGTGATAAATGTCCTTCCTTGATGAAGGTCAGATGCCTGAATGCTATGGAAAGAGGGAGTGGGGAGCATGGAAAGGGTGGCTGCATTTTATTGAGACTGCTCTACATTAAGTTCTCAGCACTCTGAGGGAGATATATAAAGTGTAAGAAACAAAAACTGACTGATTTGCAGGAAGAAGATCCAAAAATAAAGAAAAAACTCTTTAATATAAGACATTTAAGTCACAGAAAAATAAAATATTCTGTTATTTGCTCAGGAAAACAACACTGGCTATTATGTTCAATGAGTATTTTTCAGAAGAGAAGAAACAAACTCAGTTAAAACAAGGAAATAAAAAGAAAAAAAGATTAGAAAACTTAAATACAGCAAAAATTCAGATGATTTGCTCCTTACTTGAATGAAACAAGAGTCTAAAGAGCACCAGCAGCAAAGACAATGAAGATGTAGGAAACAAGAGCCACAGTTACACATTTAAGAGACAAACACAATTTGTAAGTATTAGCTACACAACCGAGAGATGCTGCCTAGGAAGGATCATGTCAAACATTTTCTGTGGCGTATTTTTATATTAGTGGCGCAGGGTCTAGCCACGGTAAACTTATTACTTCAAATAATAATCTATCATGGGTTACTGACTTCTGGATCTGAAAAGTAACCAACTGCTGTAATGTTACAAATTACTTTCTGGGAGAAGCCAGCAATGACTTCTACCCTCTTGGACTTTGTACTTAGGAGTGAGGTGAAGGAGACAGTAACCCTTCTGGGCAACAACCACCTTGATGTCATTGCTTGAGCTGAAAAGATAGGAACAACAGGATTGCCAAGAGAGACTGTAAGGAATCCATTAGAGTACAATATCATATTAGATTAGATTTTATTTGTTTGCATGGTGCCTTTGATTCAAAGTAATGAGTAAGTTTAACCCAGGGGACAGAGCAACGAAACAATAGATTGCTATCAAGTGAAACACAAAAATGGACTTGACAGCTAATAGACCCCACAAAAAAACCCAAAACTCTTGGTTCATGAAAGAAAAGCAGGGGAAGTAAAAGTCAAATTGTTTGCAAAAGGGGAAAAAAAGAAACAGAAAGTCAGCAGTTTTAATTCTATTTCTCTGACTTGTCATATGGGACTCTGGTTCTTGGCTCACTTCTGAAAATTAAATTCAGAAAATTAAACTCCTCATGCACTCCTAAAAATTTTACTCCAAATTTAAAAAGAAAAGAATAGTTTGGGTAGAGCAAAACGAAGAAATTATAAAGCTCCAAAAATAAGAATAAATCAAGCCCTTTAAAGACTCGAACTTGAAATAAAGCTCTTTAAAGACAAGCTAATGAAGGGAAAGTGAGAAGAAAAAAAAATAGCATTGCCGAGCAGAATAAACACTGGTATTGCTTGTATCTAGCTCTAAGAAAAATATAAACTACATAAAGTTTTCATGCAATATAAGAACTCAGGATCTTTTTGAGAATTTCTGAGGTGCTTGGGTGAGAGGGAGAAGGGACTTTTCTGAAAAGAAAGAAGGATCTCCTACCTGCTGCCTCCCTGTCACCCCTGCCCTGCTCCCCTGGTTCACAGGATGTCAGATGGACCACACACTGCAAGGAAAGGGCAGGGCACATCCCTGCTGTTTTATTGATTACCCCACCTCACACCTGACTAGGGTAGAAATGAAACTGTTCTTACTAATGCAGCCAGTAAGAAACACGTAAGAGATGTATGCACAGTCTCAAATTTTATGCTTATTTTACAGAAAGAGAAACATCTGTACATCACTGATACTTGCAAATCAGTATGAAAAACCTATTCTCCACCTCCTTGAAAATAAAATGTATTACAGAACTTCTATTTTCTTAAATTTGCAATGTGAATTCTAATTTGGGGTAATTTGATTCTGTAAATGGTGTGTAAAGAAAGAATTCAATGTGCTTTTACTGGATACATCTGGGTACACATCCAGTAACCTCCTCCACTGAAGCACCATCTTACTAGAGTAAGAGGAGTGATTAAACTCTCTTTGGATGTGACCACTAATAAGCACAGATTTGCTATGTCACATAGCTGCCAAGAGTGAATTCTTACAGCCAAGCCAAATGCCAGGAAAATAAAGGGAGTTAATAGCAAAACACGGACAGACACTGATATAGAAGGCGCTGCTACAATTACAGATTATCACAAAGAAAGCAGGGATCTTAACTCAGACCTTTCCTAAATGTCACAAGACAGGAACCAAGGCCAGCAGCTTTGCATCTGCTCACACAGATGTCCCCACTGGCCAGCAGCCATTTCTCACAGAAGATGTGATTCCTCAGCTACCAAAACCTGCCTGCTGGAGATTTCCCACCCGGCTCTGTGAGTGTGAGACACGGCCAGGGATGGCAATACATTACTTTGAAAAGCAACATCTTTCCCTCATTCAGTGCCTTTCACAAAGAGACATGTAACTTTCATAACTTGATGAAAACACCCCTTATCTTTAATTTGATTTCAAATGAGTCCATAGAACTATTATTACTTCTTCTCACTCCTCCTATTTATTCTCCTCATTTGGATAACAGAAAGAGCAAGAGCATCTCTTCACTTCCATCCAAAGCAGCATGGCAAGTCTCCACACTCTTTTTAAAATGATCAAAAAATTTCCTGTATAAAGGAGGAAATTTAAAAACAAACATAAACATTAAAAATTTGAAAGGCTAATATTTAAGATCTCACCATAGCTCCTTTATCAGAAAATGTTCAGCTTTTCCCTAAAAATTAAAATTGATTAAAGCAGAAGTTTTAATCAATGTTTTGATTAAAACTTTGGCCATTGTCAGTCTTTATTCTTCTACATACCAAATTACAAAGAAAATTCAATCATATCTGGAGAACAGGAGAATGAAAATAACATCACTCAAATGAGTTATCACCTTTGGTAATGCTGAAAAAACAACTTAATTATTTTATTGCTTTAGATAACCGAAGATACAGTTGGGCAGAAATACAATCTAGTAGGCAACACATAGGAACTTCAACTTTATCAGCCCAATCTTTAAAACTGTCAGCATTTATTTGTGCATGAAAACAGAGTGCGACGAGGCACCTAATTGGCCTCTGCCTTTACTGCAATCCCATTACAGTCAAAGCCAATTAGATGTAACACCAGGTTTAAAAATATGCGATTAATTATGATTAGACACAACTGTGTGTTCACTTTGAACACAGAAAACTTGAAATGGAACAGTAAAACAAGGTCCTGGTTGCGTTCAAAGCAGGTCTGACCTCCTTTACTGAAAGCCTTTTATGAACTGCACCGATGTTTGGAAAGAAGAACAAAGTTTCAGCATGCAGCAGTCTAACACAACCTTCACAAGCAGAGGATTGTGAGCCTTCTCCAAAGGTTTTAACTGTTCAGGGCCTTGGGTGCACCAGTATTTTTCAAATGCCCAGAGTGGCCTCACTTGTGACCCCTCTTTCCCCCTGTACAGGACCCCTGAGCAGCGATACAGGAGTCCTTGATGAGCTCACCCTGTAATGGGTCTTCCAAAACCTCACTGTGATCGCAGACTGCCCCATTTTTTTAGAGCACACCCTAACTAGAGGCACAGCTTTTCTGCTTAGATAGAAAAGTATTCTGCCTTTTAAGCTGCAGTGTTATCCTTAGCTCTCTAAAGTATTGTTGCACTTAAACTGCAGAAGTATAAAGAAAGGGAAATTCTGTATAGGAACACAGCATGCTGTTGGAGGATTTGATACAAATGTGGTTAAAAAATACTGGCTTTTAAATTTCTACAAATACAATTATGGAGAGGATTTTAAATGGCCACCAGATGTCCCCATTTTTATATAAACATTCAGACTCCTAGTACTATGAGCTGGATAAATACCTGTGGTAGCAGATAAAAATCTTCATGTGAGATGACAGACTGCTTTTTATGAGAAAATTTTAATGGTGATTGCAGTAGGAATAGCAATCCTTTTCTGAGAGTTTTAATTCAAACACAGCTGGAAATGCTTTTGCACTGAACTTTCAGAGGTACTTGCTCCTGGGCTCATAAAATGCTTCACTGCTTTAGTAAGAACCCTGATAAGGACAGTGGCTGATGCTCTCCAAAGCCCAAGCCCTGGCTGTGGATGTACTCAGTGCATTTCCTGGGTGTCAGAGCTTTGCCAGGCCCTTGGGTGCCCCAGAACACACTGGCTCACTCCTGCTGGGCTGGCAGGTCCAAACTCTGAAGGTCCAAGCACAGCCAAAAGCTTAACAGGTTGACAGAGCTGACAACTCTGATTTTGATTTTTAAATTCTTTTTAAAATACAAAATGCAAAAGGCTTTTAGAGGCTATATTTGAAGCAAGCAGATAATTAATGCAGTAATTTTTAATCCAAAGCAGTCAATTTATTCTTCAGAAAAACACTGCAATCGATACTTCTCGTACTTCAAAAAGGGGAAACTTCCTTTATAGTGACGCTCAGTGATTCCCTGAGTGCTTTAAAATTGTGCCAACAGTCATTCACTCAGGAAAAACATACCAAAGCTACTGCCTGACTAGTAGGATGATCCCAAAACTCAGGAGAAACTAATAATCACTGCTAACCTGGTTGGTTGTGCTCAAATCTTTTGAACATTAGTCTCTATCTAGCCAAATAACCAGATACGTAATAACCAGCTAACCAGATGCCTAACAAGCACTCTTTCCCAACAGAAGGCCCAGGATCTTCTTTTCTCTGTAATTCATAATTCCAGCTATGTTGCAGGGAATTTAAAAAAGCAATCATTACACTAACAGCTAAACAGATGCAGGGAAACAAGGGGTGTTGAGTCCTTCACACCTCACTGCAGCTCTCACACCAAGGCAGCGGGAGCCACAGCAATGACCACTACCATCAACAGGATTACTGCTGACAAGCCATGAAGGCAGTGCATTTAAATTAATTTATTTTGTTTTATATTCCTCCAAACTGCTCAGCCATTGTGCACTTACGCTGCTGCTCACTGGGCAAGTGGCAAGGTGGGAACTGCTCAGGTGACAGCACAGGGCAGGAGAGAGGAGTTGATCTAAAGCAAGTCTCCTGAATGTTCTAGGAAACTCCTGACAGGGCAGAAAGGTGATTGATATTTGATGGATAAATTCCAGCTTCAATTATTATTTTGGTGTCTAAACTGGAAAAAAGAGTAATTCTGGCAGCAAAGCGGAACATTCAAGCCTGAAGTCCCCAAGGATTATGAAGACAAAAGGGGTTAAAATTTTGTGTTTTATTCCCACTTAACTGCCTATCCTTGGGCATTAACACCCAAAAAAAAGTTTGACATTTGACCCTGTAAAGGAGACTCTGAAAGTAATTCCTTTGAAGTACTGTAGTGAGGGAAAATGCCCAAGTCCATTCTAACAGGACATTTACTCACAGTTCCATGAAAAATACTTCATGTCAACAATGCCTACAGAGCAATGTGCAACAGCAGGCCTCCCCAGCTGGGGGACAAACCTTGTTCAGTGGCTTCCTTAACATTGATCCCTTTGTGCTTCCTAATTCTCAGATTTAAAAGTCATCTGCAAATTCCCTGTTGCTGCATGTGTGAGACAGCACATATGAAAGCTGTGGCTCTTGCTGGCAGGAACAGGAAACAGCTGATGCACGCTGCAGGGAAACTGCAAATTGGTATCAGAGTGGGGTTTTATAGCTTTTTAAACTGACTGTCATGTGATAGCAGTAAGGTCTAACTCCCAGCTGGAGCATGGGCCTGTAGGAAGAAGTTAGAAAAGGAAAATGGTATTTACAGCCATCACCAAAACTTTATACATTTTAGTAGGAAAATGCAGGCTGAGAAGAATTAAGTCAAGCTGCAAAACCACTCTCAAAAATCCAGCAAAGCAATCAATACCTTCAGCAACCTTAGGCCTTCCCTGTTTAAATTTGAAATAAGCTGCCTAGAAGAGCGGACACAACATTAGACAATCTCACCTCAAACAGCACTGCACCTCCAGCTGGGCTCACATCTGTGCCCTGCTTTGATGCTTCCCTGACTCCCACAGCTCCAGCAGGCTGACAGTAGGTATCTCCAGTACCACATCTGCTCCAGCCAAGCAGAGAAGTTTAAATTCCTCATATGGAACACGAAGAGCTCAGCCCAACTTTGCTGCAGCTAAAGCAAACTGTACATGCACCTCAAGGCAAGACAGAGGCTCACCCAACCTTCATTCAACAGCCACTGTATGTGTCCAGCATGAGCTGTTTTTGGGTAGGGGAACAGCAGCTTGGTCCCCCCACAGGTACCCTCAGTCACCTCTGCTTGTTTCAGCCAGCACCAGTGCTACACAGACCAGAGCTGAGCCCTCAAGGAGCTTGTGCTCATCTGGACCTGCCTCTCCCCCAGGGAGCCAAAAGGTCCTGAGGAAGCAGAATCCAACACAAATGAGAAGTCTGTAGTACTCAAAGCCCAAAAATAAACAGAAGGCTACAGCTAGGAGACAAAAATACTCAACTCTTCATCTCAAGACAGTTTTCCTTTTAGCATGGAAACAAAAAAAACCCCAAAAAACCTCAAAGCCTTAAGGACCTACAGATACAGTTGCTGCAGACACAAAGACCAGGGTTCTTAAAAATAGTATTCCATTGGGAATGATTATAAATTTATAAGCGTTTATTGACATTTCAATACATCTCCACTAGGTTTCCTCTCATTAACTGCATGCACCTTTAAAAACAAAGTTCAACCTTCAGAATATTTCATTTGCAGTGCATTAAATGTATGTAAAATGATAAATATGTGTATTTCCTAACAAAACTAAACACAACACAACAACCATGCAGCTGATATCCAGGTAAAAATTACTTCTGATTTTCAGACACAGTGAAAAACAACTCATTTACATATTGCTGCTTACACAAAAAATGCCACGCCCAATTTGGGATTGCTGAGCTACCACAAGTATGTTTGCCCATGTATCATCACCAGATGTCTATCCCACAAACCTGCAGGTGTTGTTGACAGAGTCCTCAGGGCAGTGGTGGTGGCACTGGCAGGACAGCTTCTTCTGGGGAGGAGCAGGGGCCGTACTCTCACCATCTTTTCTGGTCTCCATGCTCAGCTTGCCAGAACTTCGCAGGGGCATGCTGTCTAGAAAACTGGCTGTAAGAGGGGAAGAAAAAGAAACAGTCTTAGGCTGTATTGCAAGACTTGAAATGCAGGCTTTAAACTACTTCTACCTATCAAAATTTCAGGAAGTTATTTGAGATGAGCATTTACTACAGAGTGTTTTTCTGTAGTTTGACATGGTCACCATGGTTGAGGCTTATTGGACATTGGTGGTATTAGATCAAAGGTACTGATGTTTGAGTTCTGCCACTGCCAAGAGATATATTGTGCTTTTATTACTATATATTGACAGTACAGCTTTTCTTCTATTGCATTACATAGGTCAAATCCTTGGTTACACCTCTGAGCTTTCTTTATCTCTACAGCCCTCAGCACAGATCTACATTCACTGAACCCCATAAACATCAGTGGGATTTATGGTACTCCAGGCAGAACAGAACATGGGCATACAATTTAACAAAGACTTAACAGAAAGTGATGTTCTTTCAAATTCAACAGCACGTTCTGTCACTGAATTGCAAAAGCACTGCTTGGAAAACAAGGGAAAGAGCTCATTTCTGTAAAAGCAAAGTCTATAAACAAAGTAAAAGAGAAGAATGTGGTTTCAGATGAACAATGCTGAAATATATGGGGGTGATTATTTCTAAAAATATCAGCGTACTGAATCTCCATGGAGCTGGTGGAGTACAGCTGGAGATGTTTGTGATAGGCTAGGAGCTGTTTAAGCAACCTCCTTCCCCCAGCTCTACTCATAAATATCAGCTTTCAGTCCTTGTGAAAGTTTTAAGCTTCAAAGACAAAAATGAGATTAGCATGAAAAGCCTCAATGGGCAGTTCCTCGCTCTCCTTTTGGTTCCCTGTAAGAAATCTTACCAAAGATTACCAAACAGCTGTCTCCAAAAGAGGAGCTGAAGAACAGGCTTGGTTTACTGTTGAGTCTTTATAAACAATTGATATTACAATTATTTTGACTGCCCTTTACTCTAAAATTTTCCCAAACTCTCCATCATTAGGACTGATATATTGTGGAGCTGACAAAAAAAAAAAAAAAAAGTATCTTTTTGAGCTCCCTAGGGAGAGACAGGGTGGGCAAACAAGCAGAGGGGATGGGGACAAGTAGCTACACTTCAGGGCTTGGACAACAATCAACAGCTGAGGTGAGAGTGAAGCTGAAGGACTCTGAAGCAGTGAAAAGCCAGAGGAAGCATGGGGATGTTCTACCAGTCCTTGCCCTTAGGAGAGCACATCATGCCTCCAAGCTGCATATCCCTCCTCTCCTGTGCCAGCTCTGGTAGCACAGGGTAGGCACGGATAGGCACTGGGAACAAAGTGGCACACAGGCTTTAGTCTTCTGCAGTGTAACATGAGACAATGCAAGCTTATCCCCAGTAAAGCCAGAAAAAAGCTGTCACTTGTTAGCTCTGGGAGAAGTGGGGCTTTGCATGTAAGAGCACTGCATTTAGAGAAGTGCTAGCCTTTTTAACATTATAGCCCTTCCACTCCTTGCACATTCCTTGAAAAAGAAGTATACTAATATTAGGGTGATACACATGAAAGAGAATAATTCACCATGCCAGACTAATGCTCCTATGAAACACAGAACTCATACTGTGTCCCACTGAAACCAACTGGCTTCTTGATCAGCTTTTTCTAAAGTCAAACCAGACAACCAGTTACAAAACACACACAAACCATGGTCTGCAACCCTTGTACCCAAGATACAAACTGGACTCACAATACTGACTGGCTGGCAGTCCCATACTGTTTTCACTAACATTTGGCAAAATCAGAACTAAAAGCGTGAGTTCACCCAAGATACATTGTGTGTATGTGGTGTTGTGCACTTGCAGCTGTACCTTAAGATAAAGTAGATGCTTAAATTACGGGAAAAACAATGCACCACTGTTTGTTGCTCCTAATACGATTAGGCAGCCTGTGTATTACAAATTAATATCAACAGATGTTTGCTCTCTGGGTTACAGGATTAGGGATTACCTAAATTCTCTTTCAATCAGCAATTTTTATCAGTATTACTTTGTTACCATTGAATGGGGAATGTTCAACTATTAATATTCCTCTCAAGGATTTTCAGACTTCAAGCTCATGAGGCAACCAAGTGAAGTTCTAGCTCATGAGTGTAATAGTTGGCTCTGTACATCACTTCTACAGCTCTTTCTACAAGCTACCTACAGTTTTAGCAGGGATCTCTCCCCAACAAGGAGTGTAAAACACAAAAGTTTCTTACACCTAGCACAAAAAATGGGGAAAGGTTTAATAACACATTTGATGGTGCCTGAATATGTTAAATCTAGGCAGCTAAACACCATGCTCATAATATATACAACCACATATCGTTCATTTTTCCAACAAGCACGTAAGATAGTCAAACCCCAACACAATCTGTGGCCATCACTCATCAATGATGTGATGATGAACAGCTTCTGCAAAACTTGACATAAACAACAGCTTACACCCCTAGACCTGGCTGCACTCTCAGTTATAATAAGACAGCTGGAAGTGGCTGAATTGGAATCAAAAATCTGAAGTACCATCAAAGCATCGTAGGTGACTATGTAGAGATGTAGTTTGGTTTTGGGAAAATTTAGGACAGATAGGCTGGCATTCAAATTTGCACCTTCCAAGAGTTGAAATTAGGAATGTAGCCTAGTATTTTACTTACACGTAATGCCCAGGGTCAAAACTAGTGCAAAAGCATTGCAGTTCAGTGTCAAATACATTAAATTGAATAAAACTAAAATAGGCAGGAATAAGATACCTTTAATCAAACTCTTTTCTGTCTTCTAAAATGTAGAACTCTTCTCACTCTATTCGCTTGCTCCTTTCATTCCTTCATTTCCTGGCTGCTAGCTAAATTGATGGGCAGATCTTTTGCCTCTGGTGTCTCACCTAGCAGATAACCAAGGAACATGTAGAAACTCTTCTCCACCCACTCAGAGCTGAGTTTCAACAAGGTCTCCTGACTTCTATGTCTGTTTGACTTCAGCACAGAAAGGTTTTCCAGCAGTCCCTTCCCCAAAAGGAAACGTGTAGGAAGGAACTCACAAGAGATGGGGGAAGAAAATTCCAGCTTGGCAACAAGTTTCTCCTGATTTCAGGTGTGAAAAACACAGTTTGGGATGGTAAACAGCTTGTTTCTCTTGCATTTGCTGCTGTTCTGTAACAAGCACCTGTCTCTACAGACCTGGCTCTGTCTAGGGTTTAGAAGCCCTTTGGGTTTTGAAAGCTCTCCTAGAGCCCTGAAAGCAAGAGATTTCAGGTTGTTTAATCTTGGCTGCTTCTTTGCTGTAGCCTATTCTGTTGCAGTCTGCTCATGGTCAGCTTCCCATCCCTGATGCACTGAGTGCAGCTTGGGAGAACTGCAGGAAAACAGTGGGATCAAAAATAAGGTTGTTTTAGTCTGCTGAGAAACCTACTGACTGCATTAGGGAATTCATCAAAGCAGCTGTGCACCTCAAGTTCATCATCAGACTGGTACAAATTCATCAAGTTCAGCTGAGTTTCTCAGCTTAACTCTCTTTTTCCACCAGCATCTATAAAGCACCATCCACCACAAGGGATGGCAGTCAGCTGCCGGGGATTTGATGACTCTTTGGAGTGCTACTCCTGGAAAATACTTTCCTCTCTAGGAAAACTGTGATGTGATGGCCTCTTATGAACCTCTACTTTAGAATGGGGACTGTGTGCAGCATGCTACTGCTTTTTTTTTCCCATGTGTGTGTGTGTCTCTCCTTCCATGCTTTGTGGTCCTTTACAGAAAGAAAGATCTACAAAGATCCTGAATCCAGGATAAAGAAAATAATGAAAATAAAGTGCAGTAAAATGAAAGTCACTTTCATGGTCATACAGGAGGATAATGTTAATGTCTAATTTAAGCCCCTACTAACCTCCACTGTCAACAAATAATCCTTCTTGGATATACTCTTCCATCTATCAGCGCTAAGATTTAGAACAAAATACTTTGCCATGTGGCAAACCCTTTCATGGTATTTCAGGGAGTTCTGCTGTAATTTTTTAAATGTGTGAGATGTGATCACAGACCCCCACTCCACAATGACAATGAAGTAACTATGAGGATGAATTCTAACTTGGTTTTAAATAGTGTTGTTGTTTGATGGTTTGACAGGTCTGCAGGCAGTGGTGCCTCACACACAAAAGGAAAATCACCTATTTAAGCTTTACATTGGCTCATGTAGGTGCAGAAAAAATACCTGATCTAGAGAGCCAGTCTCTCGGTGTACATTCAGACCTCGAACTCTCTGCCATGGCTGCCAACAAGTACTTCACCCTCTGCCAACTGTAGCCATAGTTATGTGATTTGGACAGAAATTTCTCCACTAGAATATGGATAAAGCCCAGTAACTCATTTCACATTGGCCCACAGCCATTGGATGGTAATGACTTTTGGGCACTGTTCCGATTCAACAAGTCTGGTAATGTAGGAGGTGAAAAGCTCTTTATTCTGTTTCTCTGTATTCTGTGGTTTGAATTTTAAGCCATCCTGTTCCTGGAGGATGAAGAATTAGCAATAGTTATCTTAACAGATTCATTTCTGTGCCACAGCTGTAAGATTTATGTGCTGTCTATGCAGTGAAAAAAGCAAATCTCTCATGACCTTACAGGGGCTCCTAAGGAGTGAAAGTCAGATTTTTCAAACAGATGCTAAGGACAAAAAAAGAAAACAACAACGAAAGTATCAGAGTTTTGTGATTACTCCTCTTTCTACGCAGGGCATTTGAAGCCTCAGACTGGTTCAATACCATCCATTCATGTTTTCCTATTCTAATAACAACATCTGGCCACAGCACCCTCTGACTGGGAGCAAGGCTTACTGCTTGAGAGAAGGCACACACCTAAGAAGCTCTACATGTCACAGAGCAACTGTTTCAACTGCTCCTTTGGACTGGAACCTAAGGATATTCATACAAAAGTGTCTGAACAGTAATTGAAAACGAAACAAAACAGTGCAAACCTGAGAACAAAATCAGTCAACTTGATAAAATAGGTAAGGTGGA